TGTTTTGAAATAATATCACAACTATTTGTTTGAAAAACAAAGAAAAAGAGATATGGTACCAGTTCTTGGAATCTCCTTTATTTATTTTTCATCTAGTAGAAATTTTGTAAATTTTTGTATTCTCCCCCAATTTTCTTCTTACTTATGAATACCTTAGATGATTCTTGTCAAATGAGATAATATAAATTTAATATTCAAGTAATTTTTACTTTTCTCCATAAATTTTTATTCTCAGTGTCTTCCTAAAATAAGGTTTTTATCCTACTTAGCTTAAGGAACTAGATGGCATTCTACCTATTTCTCTCTAATACTCATCATCCATTTCAATCAGGTTGTGCAATTCATTGTTTCTGCTCATAAGCCAAACTCATTTCATCTTTGTGCCATTTCCATGCTGTTCTTCCCACCTGGAATATCTTCTTCTCTCCACCTTTCAGAGTCCTATTCATCCATCAAAACTGAAGCAAAGTGTCATGACTTCATGAAGTCTATTTCTATCACTTGTTTTCCACATGGATTCTCATATAGTAGTATGCCTTATATTAGTTATTATTTATTAAATATTTGTTGTGTTCTGAATGCTGTTCAAAGTATTTTACAAAAAAAGTACCCTATGTAATATTCAAAACAACCCAGCAGGTAGATTTTATTATTTAATATATTAGTAAAGCCAAAGAGATTAAAGAGTTTTCAGAGTTACACAGAAAGTAAAAGAAAGAAAAGGGCGAGCATCAAACCTATGTCTATTTAACTGTACTTTGCTATGAGTTTTCCCTGGAGGTTGAGAAAGAAGACTTACAGCAGAAATAGGCTAGATTCTCAGAGAAGAAAGATTTGTAAAAGCCCTCCAAGAACCAGGATACTCGCTACTTCTGAAACCACTACACTATAAACATATTGCTCATCTTATATCTGAACTTTCTTGATACAGCTGAACTTTGCTCCATACTTGGACAGGACTTTAGGCTATATGTTTCTTCCAGAAAGGGCACATATTATTTTTCCATTCACATGGACTTTCTCTATGATCATGTGTTCTCTCTTCTATTGATTGTATCTCCATCTACTGCTGCAGATCTGTTTAACAGTTTCCATATTAAGAAAGCCATACAAATACTCATCACCATAAATACACAATTGCACTGAAAAATCTCCACTAAAGTATGCCAGCCTTTAAAGAGAGTCTTGTGTTCCACACTGATATTCACCTCCTTTTTAGAGCAACCTACCTGAGTTTTGGTGTTCAGGAGATTCTCCACCAGCCATCTATCCCAAAGGAAGATGCTCAAGCTGTATTTATGGTGATGAGTCAAGTTATCACTTGGTGTAGCTCATTGTTCATTCACATAGTCCTTATGCAAAGGGATAAATTACCAAGGAGAATTGCTCTTCTGGCAGCAGGGATATTTTGTAGTAAAGAGACATTTTCAGTGTAATCACTTTTTGCTCACAGGTGATCCCAGGTGCCCTGTTGCAAAATGGGAAGTGGAAAGGGAAGGCAGGCTTTCATTTTTCCTTCAGATCAGATAAGTCCATGTGGGTTAATGTTTCGGGACCAGCAGTTAGCGTAATGGCTATGTCGCTGGACTCCCATGTAGTCGACCACAGTTCGAGTCGCAGACCTGGTGGCTTAAAACACGCTGGGCGTGTGTGCGTGCATGCCCAAGATCCCGAGAGGAGAATGGAGGACAAGAGATTGCGGAGTGGTCATTCTCCCGGGGGGTGATTTTTCGCTTTCTGTCTCTCTGTCTCTCTCTGTCTTTCTGGCAAGCACATGCACCCTATAGCAAAAACCTCTCAAAAAAATGTTTTATCAAAATCAGTAATATTGTCTATCAGTGTGCTTTGCCTCCATGGTCATTTTTTTCCCACTTACAAATAGTATCCTTGTTCCACTTCAGTAACTACTATGTATTGCATCTAATGCTTACAGCAAATGGATAGACCACCCGAGATCTTCTAGGTCAAGAAAACTGGATCCATTTCCCAGTTCTAACCCTAACTAGGTATGCAACTTTAGGCAAATTGACTAAACATCTCTTAGCCTTAGTGCTCTCATCTGCAAAAAGTGAAAATGTGACATACTTCATAGAGCTAGAGGAAGGGTGTAGCTAAGGTGGGACATTTGTAAGTACTTTGTAACCTATGAAGGCCTTTACCATACATGTGTCATTTGGTGCTCTAAACCGACATCATGACCTAGAAAAATAGTACTAGCATACTTTACTGCCTAAGAACTACTTCATCACTTCTGCATTTCAAAAGGGAGAAATTGTATTCCACTATCTTTGAGGTTTGGCAGCAAGTTCTGATCAATATTTGGCTGCTAATGGAAACAAATTAAATAAAAAGTTCACACTAGATTTCAGAAAAAGTAAAGACGAAACTGTCACTTGCATGCCTTTCATATTCCCCATGGTGCTAAGACTACACAAATAATTGGTCCTTAATAAATACTTGTTTATATTAATTTCTTTGTTAATGATATAACAAAGGTGTTTATCTGCAGTGTAACTTACATGACAAGGTTAAAAATTAGCAAATTCGCCAGTGAATGTCTTATTTGTGATTGAGAAGAGCTCTTTTATTCAAGAAAGGTGTTAATGGCTTCATAACATACATAATCTTAAGGAAGTAGTGATTGGGCTGGGGTCTATATTATTAATGCAGGATATAAAAATTCAAATGTACTATCATTTATAAGTATGTTGTCAGAAAGCTGATCCTCTTAGTCAAAGTGCTTTTTCTTGAACAACTAAAAGCTGGACTTTGAGTCCAGCAGGTGACATAGTGGTTAAGACGATAGACTCCCACAAGGTCAACTGTGGTTCGAGTCCTAGACCCAGTGTCTTGAAACTCACACCGGGCTCATGTGTGTGCATGCTCAAGATTTGAAGAGGACAATGGAGGAGAAGGGATTGCAGCATGGCCTTCCTCCAGAGGGTGATTTCTCATTTTCTCTCTCTCTGTCTGTCTCTCTGGCAAATGCACATGCCCTAATGCCCTAAGTGCATTGCATGACAAGTTTTAGGTAGTGTACAAATCAGATACAAAAAGAAAAATAAAGTAAAAAACAAGTAAAAGTATGTAGAATTGAATGTGGCTGAGTGTTTGTTGTTGTTCTTATTTAATTAAATTACCTCAATTCTCTTTTGCTGAAGAAGCAGCAAGATTAGGCAGGCTGTATTAGTCCACATAGGTTAAGAAAGAAAAAATAACATAAAATGGATATATGTTTGGCCAAATTCCATTCTGCAAAAACCCAGTACTAGATAGTTTTCTACTACATATGTGAGCTTCAAAGCTGTACTACACCCTTCAAAACAAGCCTGTTTGGGGATGGGATAGAGATAGATACAACTCAATCTTCTTTAGTATTTCTCCTTGTTTTAACATTTTATTTGATTCCATCCATATTCCCTGCCTGCCTTCCACGCAAAGAGAATGGGCCACAACTCTCTTAAGAGTCCATCAGTGATACTTTGGCTGCCAAAAATAGTGACAGGAGACATTCATTCCCCACCTACCTCACTTCTTGAGCATTCAGAATTCTGCATCTTAAGAGTCTGTGACTGAAGACATAAGCCAGGTTTTCAGAATTTCCAACACATTATTGCTGCCACTTTCCCCCTTACTTTAGCAGAGTAATTTAATTCAATTTTAGAAAGAGAAAAGGAGAGAGAAAAAAAAAAACTTTTCTAGTTACACAGATCAATCCAATTGTTCAGAGCTTCAGAATGAATTTTTAAACTTGTTGAACAGAAGCATACAAATCTCTAAGAGCAAGTCAGATAATGTACAAAGCCTCCATTCATTGTGTAGGCAGAAAGGAATGCTGGTACCCAGCAGCTCTCTAAGGAATGTTCCTTTGGCTTTGACTGTTCTGCTGGGAACAAGGAGGGAAACATATATAAAATGAATTTATAATGTTTCTGGCTCGTAATGGCAAAATGATAAGAAAAGTTGGCTGTTTGATATAAACTGTCGGTTGCATATTCCAGGCCTCCTCTCTTTGAGGTCCCTCCCACATCCACACGCCTGGCTACCGTTGAGTGAGGAGTACAAAGTGGCCGTTTATTATTATTGACTGGTGAGGCCTGTGCTCCAAAATTCATTCTGTCAACAGAATGTAAGCAAAGTTGGCATTTTAAAGCAGGGCTCTTTCAGTTTCTGGGTTTTCTCAAGATTGCTATGCAACAGGATCAGTGCTGTAGTCCCCGGTTCAAGCTGAAAATGTTACACAGGAAGACATACCATGTAAACGTCAGATTCTTCTACTATGATAACTTTTCTTGATCTGTGTTTATACAAATGAGGTCGAATGCATAAACGTTTATCATAACTCTTACCAAGGTCCTATGGACTTTTCACCTGTTAGACCTAAATATGTGACTGTGTTTTCAATAAGAAACCTTACAAATAAATGTACCATGTTGTAATATACGTATACTGCTGTAATAACAAGAGGAACATAATGTGTGTTGTCAAAAAGATTCTTTGCTATGATGGACTCCCATCATATGCTGCCGCTATGGACCAAGTACATCCTCGTTTACTAGTATCTCCATGCTTTCATGGTCACAGCCAACTCTACAGATTACTAGGTACATGAAAAAGGTAACTTTACCCATGTCGTAATGAAATCATTGCCACTGGGGTTTTGTCCTAGGATTGAATCTTATATCTCTTCCAAAAAAGCAATATATTTTGTCTGTGGACTAGAAGACTCAACTTGAACATTTTGTAGTTATAAATATATTACTCTCCAACTTCTCATGGCAAGTATTAGTATACGTAATAAACTATCCATTTTCAATCTCCATAATAACATGAAAAGACAACAGAGCAAGAAAAGTGATTTGGGGTATATCTTCTTGGTAGATAGCAATTAAAATATCTGTTAAATGAATAGTTCCTTTTTTGCAGGTTTCCAATTTCTCATTCATACCGGGTTTCTTTGGTTCAGTAATTCTCTATGTGATCTTCCTGTTGTCCTATAGGACCTCCAAGGAGAAATTGAAGCTCACACAGATATCTATCACAACCTGGATGAAAACGGCCAAAAAATCCTGAGATCCCTGGAAGGTTCTGATGATGCCGTCCTGTTGCAAAGACGTTTGGATAACATGAACTTTAAGTGGAGTGAACTTCGGAAAAAGTCTCTCAACATTAGGTAGGAAAAAATCGGAAGTGTTTTTGTAGGAGTAACTGAAGGAGTAATTTTATACCTCTTAAATATAATATTAAAAAATTGGACTTGTAAAAAGAAAACAAAAAGGAAAAGATCAGGAACAAAATAGCCAGAAATGAATTAAAATGGCAAAATTTTCCTCATTTTCCTAGCTCCAGTAGCTAACATCTCATATTTTTATGTAAATCACCCAATTTCAGAATGATTCATTTTATTTTGAATAAATGAATCATTCATTTGCTTGGTATGGAGATGATACTTGAGGGTTCAGATTAGATTAAAATGGTGATGTTTTATAACCACAGGAGAGATGCATATTAAGACATTAGAGTGAATTTAAATGAGGAGCACAGCTATCCTAATTTCATAGAGCTCTCTTGGCTTATCACAGGGTTATACAAAAAGTGATAAAATTAACTGATGTTTATTATGGGATTCTTTCTTTGGCATTACTCTAAATGCATACCGGAGGACATTCTTTAAAAACCATAACGCATTACGACCCCAATTTACAGGAGACCTTTCCGTAGCTCCTGCAGCTAGCAGAGAGGGCGGCAAGTTCCTGTCTTTTGCTTCCTCTCAGATTTTGTTAAACCACATCTTCTGTAGACTAAGCTTTTTGTTGTTCTATACTCACCTACTTTGAACTTTGCCCTTACTGTATACCTGTTTTCTTTTGATAAGTTGATGGATGCATCTCAGCATCTTTATAAAGATGGCAAAGGAAAGTTCTTGCTATTCCCCTTTTGCACTAGTTCAATGGAGGGACAAAAGAGGAGAGATCATAAGTGAGATTCCCACTGTTACCTAAATGATCCAGGAAGTGCAAAAGGTGAGCCCGGCTTCCTGCTTTCTAATCTATTGCTTTTCCTAATTCACATTTCTTTATCAATACATTTTGTGCTTTCCTCTGTGTCTAGAGGAAAAGTGGTAGTGGAAAAAGACAGAAGGACAAATGGACTTATTGATAGTTATTCAGGAAGATACTAAATAATGGGAATAGTCACTACCTTTGGGTAGTAAGATTACAGCAGAGAGATTTTTTTTTCTCTTCATAGTTCTTTTAAATTGTTTAACATATAGCATATTTCCATAAATGGGGGAAAGAACTGAAATTTTATTATTTCAAAAGCATTATTATAAAAATCTGCACCCAGGGGCCAGCAGCTGCCATGGTGGTTAAAAGTGCTGGATTCCCACATGGTCAACCGTGGTTTGAGTCCCAGACCTGGCAGCTTGCTTTCTCGCTTTTCTTTTCTCTCTCTCTGTCTCTGTCCAATCAAATTAAAAAATAATAATAACAAATAAAATTAATTAAATGGATACTTTTAAAAAAACTACACCTAATACAAAATAACAATCTTAGCAACAAGCACACAATGCATCGACCTACCAATAAATATGCCATGAACTCATATTTATTGATCCACTTAATACTCTAAGCAACCCTGAAAGATAGATTCTATTATTATGCTCTCTTTGCATTGAAAGAAAGTGAAGCACAGAGGGGATCAGCAGATGGCATGGTGGTTAAGGTGCTGGACATTCCCACATGGCCAACCCTGGTTCCAGTCTTGGACCTGGTGGCTTGCTTTCTCACTTTATCTCTCTCTCTCTCTGTGTCTCTCTGGTCAAAATAAAATAAGTAAATGAATAAATAAAATTAAAAATAATTTTAAAAATTAAAAAAAAAGAAAGTGAACCACAGAGAGGCTAAGTAAGTTTGCCAAGGTCACACAGTTAACAAGTAGCAGACCCAAGATTTAAATACTAGGGAGTTTGACTCCAGAGCGTGAGTTTTAACCATCATGCTATATCACAGAGTAAAAAGAAAGAAGGAACCTTTTACTAATATATCCATAATCACTGAAAGGATGAAATAGAGAAACAGATTTCTAGGAGCAGAAAAGGATTTACTGTTATTTGTAAGGTTTCTTTCCACGTTTGCACCCCAGCTTTCTTGATCCTCCTCTTTATCTCCCTATTTTTCCATGAATTTTAAAAATCAGTATGTTGGTGATGGGTTGGAGGCAAACAATGGGCAATGGCATTGTCTGTGATATGGAGGCTCCTTTAGCTCTCTACAGCTTAAAACTTTTAAGAGAGGTCAGTGCATATAATGACAAAGGCCACTTTCATAACATCCGTCATTGAAGAGGAATGAAACGTGAGATAGAAAAGACATTGGTAGGTAAAGCAATGAAAAAGAAATTATTCTTTTCTGCAGCAAAGAAAAAGAAACATGGCATAACTATTCTGAACATCACTCAGTGCCTTTTCTCTCCTTCATGTGAACTTGATGAAATAAAAGGAGAATTGAAAGCCGCAAACAGCATGTCAGCCAAAATACGGGCTCTTCATTCTCAGCAATTTCCCATATGCCAGCTACTGCAGTTTAATTCTTGCTGTCATTAATCAAGTAGAAAGCAGTTACCTTAGCTTATCTAAGGTGCTGCAAATTCTAGAATTTAAATATTCAAATCAATGGTTGTGGCTTTTAAGTAGGCCTCTCTAATAATACAGGATGTGTTCTAAGCACTCACTTATAAAAAGCAAAGGAATCATTCTTCCCATCAAAGCAATTGGGTTTATTCCTGACACTTGGTTGAAATAAGGGTATCAGTCTATCCATGGTGAATGGCAGGGTTCAGTTAAGAGAAGCATGACTAGAGGTAGTAATTTGGGATGATTATGAAATAGGATAGAGAAACACTAGAAAATTAGATACAGAATCGTCAGTGGCACTGATAAGCCTCCATTGTGAATGTCATCAGTTCTTCCATCAGGATTATTTTATAGCAAAAAGTCACCCATATTAAAAAATAATTCCAATGATAGCCTGAGAAAACGGCTCTGTTTGTTCAAGATGCAACATGTTAG